GAGGGGTCACCGCCCCTTTTCGCGCTGCAGGCGAGATGCTCTGCCCGTTCGCTGTCGGCATCCTCTTCCAGGGGCCTCCTCCCCCGTCCCCTCCCCCCCCCCCGTCCGCCCCTCGCCTCCACACCCGCACCTTCCCGGCGGCAGATGCGCATGTACTCGTCGTTTGGGCCGGCGCTCACCGGGATGCAGGCCGTCGCCTTCACTGCGCTCGCCACGGCCTTCTTCGTCTTTCGAACGCCGCAGCCAAGCTACCGGCCGATTCGGCCCGCTGATGCTGTGTTTCATTGAGAGCGTGCGGGCGAGGGCGCCGTCGCGCGCGCGGGAACGATCGGGCGTGTGAAGCTCGCGAGGTGTTGCCGCACATAAGAGGCTTCATCAGTTCACCTCGACTCTTCCTTCGGCGTGCTAGACGGCGTGGCGGGGCGGGTCGCGAAGCGGGCAACACGTGAAAAAGCCGCGCGTAAGCCGTATCACGCACACTTTTATTTGTGAGTTACCTACGGCTAAGCCGTAGTGTAGACGCGCACGTCGTTTCTCCCGTGTCCGTCTCGCGAGACGCCGCCCCCCCTCTCTCGGCCCCGGGACCGACAGATTTCGCCCGCGCGGCAGACCGCACTTGCGGTAGGTAGACAATCTACCTCCCATCTAACCGCGCCTTCCCTTTCTTGGGTAATGGGTATACCTTTCACACCCACCGAGGTCATTACCTCTAACTAGTTCGTGCGTCCTGCTATCGCCCGCCTGCTTTCGTTGCGTTCTCTCAGCGTGGTCTATATGTGGTTTGCTAGACCCATGAGACCAGCCACGCCGCGCCCTCGGGCGCCTCCACCGCCGCCCTCAGCCACGCCGCTAGGACCGACGGAGACGTCAACTCCGCCGTCACAGCACTTTCATCGCGCGTTCTCGCCGGACGGACGTTCGCCGGCAGGCCGCGAGGGCATCTGCCGGCGCTCGTCTGCCAAAGTGGCGCCAGAGTGGAGAGCTGGAGGCTGCATATTCAACTGGCCGAGGCGGCCATCGCGCGGTCTACCGTTCGGCGGGCTGAAAAAGGGGTAGACGAGTCTACCGCGGTCTACCAAGTCTACCGGTAGACTGGGGTCGTAGGTTCATTACGGTCTACCGGTAGACTGCGGTAGACTGCGGTAGACTCGTCTACCAAACGGTCTACCGTCTACCCGGTCTACCGGTAGACGGTAGACGGGCCACCCCTCAGCTCAGACGAGCATCACCGGGATCTTGCCGCCGGCCGCGTGCTGTGCGGAGGCCCCGCCACCGTCCACACCGCCGCGGCAGCAATAGGTGGCCACCGAGAACGCCACGGTCGCGAGGAAGATGTAGAGCGAGAGGCGCTCGGCGAGGGCGAAGAGGAGGGCGCAGAGCCCCAGCGGCGGCAGGCAGAAGGCGGCAAGGGGCCAGCTGTCGCCGAGGGGCACGCGGTACGGCCGCGGCGTGGCCAGCTCGAGCGTGCGCAACTTGATGAGGGCGAGGAACTCGAGGCCTGCGGTGAAGCCGTAGAAGAGCATCGAGAACTCGACGAGCTCCGAAAAGGGCAGCGACAGCACGAGGAAGAGGCCAAAGGAGAGCGCGAGCGTCGCCGCCACCGGCACGCCGCTCACGGGGTGCACCTTGGCCAGGAGCGGCGGCAGCACGCCAATCTCCGCCGCGGAGACGACGATGCGGGCCGCCGCGCACAGGAGGGCGTTGAGCTGCCCGAAGGAGGAGAGGGCGCCGCCGAGGGAGATCCACTTGGCGAGCCACTCGCCGACGTAGTCGCTCGCGACGCGGGCGAGCGTGCCGTCCGTCCACGTAGGCAAATTGGCGGCGGCATCGAGCGAGACGCCCACGCTAACGGGCAGTAGGTAGACGAGGCTGATCAGGACGATGCTGCCCACCATCGCGCGCGGGTAGTCGCGGCCGGGGTTCTCGACCTCGGAGGCGAGCGCGCCCACCGAGTCATAGCCGGACGTATTCCATAGCAGCAACGCGAGGTAGGTGCCCCAGCGCACGCCGCCGCCGCCGCCAGAAACGGCAGCGTGTGCAGCGTCGTCGTTCGCGGCATCGGACGCGCCGCTGGAGGCCACGCCGCCGCCGCCGCCGCCGCCGAAACTCGCAGCCAGCTCGCTGCCGCCGCCGCTCGAGCTCCCGCTCCGCTCACTCGGCAGGCCCGACCCAATGAGCCACGCGGACGGGTCGAGCGTCGGCAGGCCACAGATGACCAGCGCGAAAAACGGCGAGACGACCAGCACCGTGAAGAGGGTCGAGACGTTGGCGACGTTGGCGACGCCGGCCAGGTTGAGGAGCGTCACGCACACGAGCATCGACGCGGAGAGCAGGTAGCGCGGCAACCCGTCGAAGCATAACGCCGGATGGAACTCGCGCAGGTAGTCGGCAAACATGACCGGGTAGAGCGCGTTGTCGAAAAAGTTGGCCACAAGGTGGGTGTAGGCATTGCAGTGCGCCACAAACGGGCCAAAGGCGCGATCGACCCACACGACCGGGCCGCCCATGTCGGGAATCATGGCGCCAAGCTCCGCCGTCATGAGCGCAATCGGCAGCGACCATAGCATGCCCCGAGAGCGGCGACATTTGGCAGGGGTAACCTGGGAAGGAGGTTTGGTTGTGCTTTTTCTTTTCTTTTGAGAGAGAGTTCATTTCGTTGAATTCTTTTCTTTTTTTGCTCTCGGGGGAATGTTCTCTCGGCGCCCATGGCCTTGTTCTCAGGTTTCGTACTAATGACGTCCTTCTTGGCACTTCGGGCGTCGGTTGTGCGTATCTGTGTTGTGTCTAATTCCCCCGGTAATGTGTTATGGGTATCGGTCGCTGAGTGGACACTACCTCTAGACCATCATCTACTCTGCTTACTTCGGCCGTCGGCCGCTCGGTGGTCGAGTGGCTTCCGGATCGAATCGGCAGCTTTGACCCTTATAATTTTTTTCACACCTGAGCGGGCCCAATTTTGCTCAGGTGCACGCTTGGCGCTTGGTGTGCGTCCGTTTTTCGTCAACGGGTGGGACTGTGGTTGCAGGAGAGTACCACCACCCATCATTTTAGTTGGTATAGTACCCCACCTTCACGCAACCAGTGATTTCTTTGTTTAGTTTCCCATAAGTGGGTAGGTAGGTAGGTTACCTAAGGTAGGGGGCAGGGCGCACCGCAGGGGCCGGCCAGGTTTTTGCAGAATTTCATCATCAGGGCCGGCCACAAGCAACAAACAGATCAGAATACACCTGATTTTTGAGGAAAACTGGATGATTGGACGTAGGGTGGATGATTGGACGAAACACGTGCACACACAAGTAATATTCCACACCTCTACTCTACTGTAGTCAGACTGTACGCTCACCTGCGCGACGCGCGAGAGTTT